CGTGGTAGCCTGACAGTGTCTCGCACCCGCCCACCGCTCACCCGCCCACAGGGTCATCACAATCCACCCCCTTGGAAGCCCGACGTCCCCGTCAGCACACTTCCGGCTGGGTCAGGCTCTGATACCATTTGTAACGACCCACTCCACCACATGATATGATATTGTCTGCTTTAGGCCTGAGCCCGCACGGTTTTGCTCTTGGGCTTTACCCCAAAAGGCCTCATACCAATTGGAGTGACACACCTACATATAAACACTTCACCTTTCCCTTTCCCAGGTGATGTGGGATTGTGCACCCGTAGCTCGCCAGTGTAGTAGCCTGTCAGTGTCTCGCACCCGCCCACGGCACACCCGCCCATAGGGTCATCACGGTTACAATCAGAGATTGCTTGCTTTATCTCAAAAAAATTTGCACTGTTGGGTTGAGAGAAATGCTCCTGCAAATCGCTCTAGATAACTTGAGCCAAATCGGTGTAAATGATACTAGTCGCAAGGTCTGGAACCATCGAATAAATTATCCAGGATATGACCATGTCATTCACACGAATCCATTGCTCAAAGGTTGAAGAAGAAGAATCCGGCATGGGAATTGTACCATCAACGAAACTGAGCTTATTCCTTGGTTGTAAGGCCATACGCGTAGATCGATACCAAGTACTATAGTTATCTCCATTAAGTGGTGGAGATACTAAAACTGCTGTGGGATTTGTCAGAATTGTGCAAGGTGTATGGGTTTGAGAAGGGATCAATGATTTGAGGAGAGGCGATACTAGTCTGGACTATAGAGGTCTCTGTTGTAGTATCAGTGCTAATCGCCATAGAGGCAAAAGAGGACCAACTTAAGAAAAAAAAAAACCTAATGCTTTGATACCATGTCAAAATTTTGAATAGGAAAAAAGGACCACTTCTCTTATTGAGTCGTTAATCATGTACAACTTATATATATACAGATTTGGGTAAAAAAGAAGAGAAAAAAATAATCTAGAGAATTCTAGTGTGATACTCATGTATAAAAAAGTCAAAGCTAAAAACAATGCAAGAAATCTTGTTGATTGTGTGCTTGTCAAATTGTGTGCTAATAGCTGATTGTGTGCGCTGATTATGTGCTTGCCAAATTATGTGCTAATAAAACTGAAAAACAGAAAATTGTAAAAAAAAACTCTGCTTGGTTCAGTTTTCTGAAAATTATTTTCTGAAAACTCAGTTATAAAAAAGACTGTTTTAAGAAAACTGTCTTTTATTGTTTTTTGAAAACTATTTTGTTTTCTAAATTTTTTAGAACTGTTTTTAGAGTTACAAATCAAATAAACCCTAATGTGTTAAGTTAATCATAAAAATGATTTTCCGATTAGCTGAATTGGGTTCACATTTTCTTATCTTATGAAGTTGGGGAACTTGTGGGTTTTGTAGGAAAAAGCTATACTTGGTGCAATAACAATTCTAGATTTGCACGTCATTGTTATTTTAACTTTTAGATTTGCACGTCATTGTTATTTTAACTTTTAATTTTATGAATTTATTTATAATAATTTTGAAAGTCTAAATCTAGAATTGCAGGTTAGGTGTCTTGGATTTGATGATTCTAAGAGTCTAAATATGAAACAACAAATGTGAAAGGGAAAAATAACCCTAGCTTATCTTGACTTAATGAAAAAGGTAATTAAATATTGACCGGCCACCAGATTTCTCCAACTCTCAGACGATAATATCTCGTTATTAAGGATAACCATTTCTAGTAGATAAGAATGATGACAAATCGTATCTAGGATAGGATTTGTCATAGGGTAAGTTCAAATCTTATCAAGGATAAGATTTCCACGAGGTAGGCTCCATGGGCTAACGACGATGAAATTCCCTTATCAAGAATAAGGAAAGTGACTATAAATACAAAGACGACTCGGGAATAAGGTACACACAAAAAAACTCCTACTAAGCGAATTACGATTAAAAGTCTCTATCGAGAACCCTTACTAACTTGATCGTCGGAGGGTCAATAGCCGGTACCACACCGGTGTTTGACTTTGCCATCCTTATTTTGCAGGAAACGGTGTCGTACTAGACCGCGGCGAAATTCAACCTCAACAGTTGGCGCCGTCTGTGGGAACAGCGATTCCCTTGAATCGATTTATTACTCGTTGGGTATAGACGTTTGCGGTCCGGTATGGTTACCGAAGGAACACCGTCGTAGAGATCTGTTCAAAGGGAAGAGTCGGGTGAAAATCTACACGTCCCAAATGACCAGACACGATTTGCAGCGTTGGAATTGCATGTCCAAACTCTGAATCAGGGTATGGACCAGTTGATCCAACAAAATGCAGCACTCCTGCAACACCCTGTTCCACCGGTTCAATAGGGCTTGCCACGCCAAGACCTCTCGAATCCAAATAGGGGTAATGGGAATCTGGAAGAGCAGGACACTCATCCTCCCCGACATGAGACCGAAGCTGAACAAAGCCAGGTGGGAAACCAACATAGAGAGGTGATCCACCCCTTTCTTCCACGGAGTTCCCGACCCCATGAAGACACGGCTGTCATTGAAAAGACCGAAGAGATTTCCCACGTTGACCTAGAGATGTAGGATCTCAAGGCAAAGATAGAGGGTGTGATGCAGGCTATGAAGGGAAAAGGCATTGCAGCCATAGATGGTTTGGTGCAGAAGACCAATTTGCCGTTCAGCCCCTCAGTTATGAAATGCCCTTTGCCAAACAAATTTAGAATGCCCACAATTGAGAGTTTCGACGGAACTAAAGATCCCCTCGACCACTTGGAGACTTTTCAGGCGCTTATGCACCTACACGCGATGCCGGATGAGATCATGTGCAGGGCTTTCCCAACAACTCTTAAAGGATCAGCACGGGTATGGTTCAACAAACTAAAGCCAGGAACCATCGAAACCTTTAAAGAATTGAGTAAGGGCTTTGTGGGCCATTTCATTGCTGGCCAGAGGCATAGAAGGCTGGCTACCCACCTCCTTACTGTGAAGCAACAGAAGGGAGACTCACTGCAAGATTGCATTAGTCGTTTTAACACGGAGATGTTACAGGTGGAGGAAGCGAATGACAAGGTGGCTCTAGCCGCCTTCATGGGAGGACTTCAAACCTCAAGATTCCTCTTCTCTTTATCAGAGGAACCTCCTACCAGCATGGCCGAGTTATTGGTTCGAGCTAAAAGACATATGAATGCTGAAGATGCAATGATTGCGGAAAGGGAAAAGAAGGGGAGGATAAGAAGTCAGACAAGAAAAGGCCGGCCCTGACGATCAGAGATGAAAAGGAAACCAAGTATAAGAAACCCATGGTCAACCAGAATGAAAGGGCATCTCGCTATAAGAATGAGGAGAGGTATACAAATTACACTCCTTTAAATATGCCGATAAATCAAGTTTTCCTGCAAATCCAGGATGAGCCATATCTGAAGTGGCCACCGAAGTTGAAGTCAGATCCGGCAAGGAGACCTCGTGATAAGTATTACAGGTTCCATAAAGACCATGGGCACGCTACAGAGGATTGCTTCGACCTTAAGGATCAGATTGAGACTCTGATCCGAAGGGGGCACATGCGAAAGTTTATTGTGGGGAATGACAGAACCGACATTAACCCACTAAGAGCAGGCCGAGACAACCACCCTCCTGATCAACAACCAATAGGAGAGATCAGGGTCATAGCCGAGGGGTGTGCAGGAGGTGGAGAATCGAGCTCAGCCCGTAAGGCCTATGCCAGGAGAATGCAAAGCTCATCTGAGGTGTGTGAAGTAGGAGTACAGATTCAACATCGAAAGATGCCTCGTTTAGGTGATCCAGTTATTACATTCTCAGATGAAGACATGAAGGATGTGCAGCAACCTCATGACGACCCTCTTGTCGTCACCATGATGATCGCTAACTATAATACTCGGCGAATCTTGGTAGATAATGGAAGTTCAGCTGATATCATTTTTCCTGATGTATTCAGCAAGATGAAGATTGGTAAGGAGAAACTCAAACCTACTAGATCACCATTGGTGGGATTCACGGGAGACAAGGTCTATCCTCTAGGAGCAGTCATCCTTTCTGTCACTGCAAGAACCAGCCCAAAACAAGTCACTGTCATGGTCGACTTCCTGGTGGTGGATTGTCCATCTGCTTACAATATCATCCTAGGAAGAGCGACCTTAAATTCGATGAGGGCCATCACTTCGACTTATCACCTATTAATGCGCTTCTCTACCGAGCATGGCATGGGCGAACTAAGAGGAGATCAGTCCATTGCCAGAGAATGCTATGTTGCCTCTCTCAAAGAAAAGAGGCAGCAGGAGGCTTTGATTGTCGATGAAGTTGAAGAGAAGGAGCAAGACTGGGCTAAGCCAATCGAGGACTTGGTGGAGATATGCTTAAATGACACTGACATAACAAAAAAGGTGAGGATAGGGTCTCTGCTCCCCTCAGATTTCACAAATATTCTTATACAGTTCCTCAGACAGAATCAAGATGTATTCGCTTGGTCACATGAAGACATGCCCGGTATTAATCCAACTACGATTGAGCATCGATTAAACATAGATCCTACATTCAAACCTATCAGGCAAAAGCGAAGAACATTTGTCGCGGAAAGGAACATGGCTATATCAGAAGAGGTGAATAAGCTTATGAAAGCTGATTTCATCCAAGAGGTTTATTATCCCGACTGGTTGGCCAATGTTGTTTTGGTAAAAAAGGCCAATGAAAAATGGAGGTTGTGCGTAAACTTTACCGATTTAAATAAGGCGTACCCCAAAGACAGTTTCCCTCTGCCAAGAATTGATATGCTGGTAGAAGGGACAGCTGGCCATGAGCTACTCAGTTTTATGGATGCATACTCAGGGTATAACCAAATCTCAATGCACACACCAGACAGAGATAAAACCTCTTTCATCACGGACAGAGGTTTATATTGCTATAAGGTGATGCCTTTTGGCTAAAAAATGCTGGTGCAACATATCAGCGGCTAGTAAACCTGATGTTTAAAGACCAAATCGGAAGGAATATGGAAGTGTATATGGATGACATGCTCATAAAAAGCTTGAAAGCTCAAGACCATTTGGTTGATCTACAGGAAACGTTCCAAGTCCTCAGGAAACACCAGATGAAGCTCAACCCAAGTAAATGTGCCTTCGGAGTTTCCTCTGGGAAATTCCTCGGTTACATGGTAAGTAGAAGTGGGATAGAAGCTAACCCTGAGAAGGTCCAGGCGATTCTCAACATGCAGTCTCCAGCATCGACCAAGGAACTTCAAAGATTGACAGATCGCAGCTCTGAACAGGTTGATTTCTAGGGCGACCGATAAGTGTTTGCCTTTTTTCTGTGTGCTCAGATAAGCTTTTTCATGGACCCCTGAGTGCGAGCAAGCTTTTACAGAGCTAAAGGAATATCTCACTTCACCACCATTATTGTCGCGGGCGATACAAGGAGAACAGCTGTATTTGTACTTGGTGGTTTCTCCGTCGGCAGTAAGCTCAACCTTAGTCCGCGAAGAGGATGGAAACCAGAAACTGGTATATTATATTAGCCGTGCATTCAGGGAGGCGGAAGAAAGGTACCCAAGGATAGAAAAGTTGGCATTTGATAAGTGCTTAAATGTTGCACATTTCAGCACCTAAGTTAGGGTATTTCAGTCTTTGTTATTATCTTAATTTCATGTTTTAGTCCTAATTTATGTTTATGTGTATTTCAGGGCAATAAAGTTAAAATGAGCTAAGAACGGTCCATTAAAGCCTTTTTAGAGTCAAGCAAAGATATTTAGAAAAAGCTCAGAAAATGGCAAAAAGGAGGTCGCAGCCCATTGCTCGTATAGTGTGTTTATTCTTCAAAAGCGGTCAATCTCAGGCCTTTGATGATGTTCCCAAACATGAAGAAGCAAACTAATGAGCTCGGGGCTAAAATGGAGCTAAATAGGGCTTAAAGGAAATTTCCAACTCTGGGAGGATCCCCCAGGGTGGGGGATCAATCCCCCAGGACTTGGCAATATTACAGATTTTTTTTATTGTTTGGGCTTATTTTGTGAACTATTGGGCTTCAATAGGGTTGTTACTTAAGGCCCAGTGAGCCATTAGATTAGGGTTAGTATTTATTTAATTTAGGTAAATATTATTTGGATTATTAAGTTTTTAGTATTCTGTATCGTATTTTTATTCTCTCTGGAAAACACGAAGAAGAAAAAGTTAGGGTTCTTGAGAAAAGCTCAGAGAAGAAGAAGAGGAGCCAGATGAATCAAAGGATGGGGCTTGTTGACATCTTGCATCCATCAACCATGAGTGGCTGATTCTTCAACTTAGGGTTGGATAAACCCTAAGCATGTAACCTAATTCTTAACTCTTAACTTTTGGGGATTAATTTGTGTAATTTATGTTATAGCCTTGATATATATATATATATATATTAATTCTTTCATTTGATTGTCTATGTCAATTTCATATTGTCTTTTATGTTTTTGAATGATAATCAATTTCTACACTTGATTTCTTTGTGACTTGAATCTTGTGATGGCTATACATTGTATTAATTAGATGTAATTATGTTTTGATTTGATGGAAATTGCTTTTATTAGATGGGTTGTACTACAAAATTAGGTTAATGTCTTGTCTAAATAGTTTAATTTCAGGCTTAGTTAGTTTAATTTAAAGTTAATTAATTTAATTGCAATTTAATTCCTAAGTAAGTAGACAATCCATACTAGTGCTTGAAAGTGTTGTGCATTATTTTGTGCACACGCTTGGTCGCACCATAGTTTTGGTGCCGTTGCCGGGGATCTAACGGTTTTTAAAAGAATTGAATTAGACATTAGTTCTTTGTTGATTGTTTACTTTTAAGTCATTTTAATTTTTATTTTCTCATTTGATTTGTCAATTAGGTACTTGAAGCAAAGTGGAGCAAACGCTGGACTTGGAAGCAATTAAAAAAAAATTAAAAAAATTTGAAGTTGCTTAAGGACCATCTGTAAGTTCTCTTTAATTTTAGTACTTTAATTGTATACCAATTTGCATGCTTTGGGCAGCCCAAGTGGAGGCTTAAATTGAGTTGTTTTATTTTTAAGTCCAAGCATACCTTCTTGTAAAAGGCATCGGCCTGTGTGGAGGCATTTATTTGTTTTAAGTGCATTGATATTATTAAGGAGTTTGGGAACATCGTATGTGGAGGTTAAAATTTTGAAATGTTGGTGTGTTGACTTGTTCTAGTGCATGCATGGTCGTAGATCACTTAATCGTCCTCTTGCTCTTGTAAATCAAAATCTCGAAATTTTTCTTCGGCGTTTAAGAAGTAGTACTAGGGATAGTCATCTTAATCTTTCAAATTTTGATCTTCCATCACCTTTAATGGAAGACCCAATAGATCCAATTGAAGATCCCATTGTAGATCTTGGTCATGTGGATCATAATGGTATGCACCACCCACCACAAGTTCATATTGTGGATCCTCAAGGTGTGCATCCACCCTTGGGAATGCCACAACCAGTTAATCATGCGGTGCAACAACCTAATCTAGGGATGCCAAGGCCAAATGTTGTTCCCCCAATTGGTGAGCAACAACAACAATATGCTCAAATGGCATACTCTCAACAAGGTCAAATGGCATATCATCAACAAGGTCAAATGCCATATCCTCCTCTCAATCCTCTCAATCCTCCAATGGTCCTTAGGGATCGTTACACTCCAAATCAATATAATGCACCCACTTGCATTCAATTGCCAAATTTCCGTGCTCATCATTATGAGATTAAGGCTTCCACCATTAACATGTGCCCCCTTTTCTATGGGTTAAGCAATGAAGAGCCTTATAAACATTTAGATGAGTTCTTGGAAGTTTGTTTCACCGTGAAAATCACGGATGTTTCGGAAGAAGTCCTAAAAATGAAGCTTTTCCTTTTCACTCTTCGGGATAAAGCTAAATATTGGTTTAACAACTTGCGGCCAAATACAATCACCTCTTGGGCACAATTACAACAAGAGTTCCTAAAGAAGTATTACCCCGCAAGTCGAACCGATGCCATGAGAACTTCCATTCGTGAATTTAAACAACAAGAAGGAGAACCCTTTCATAAAGCATGGGAACGTTTGAATGACTTGCTACGGAAATGTCCACATCATGACATTCCTAAGTGGCAATTAGTTCAATGTTTTTTTTCAAGTTTATCCGATGCCAATAAGGGCATTGTTGATGCTTCTTGTGGCGGAAGCTACATAGAAAGAAATGAAGATGAAATTTGGCTTCTTTTCGAAAAAATGAGTGAAAACTCAATGCATAGATCTTCATCTTCAAGGGGTGGTCACCTAGCAAATAATGGAGGAAAGAAAGCTCTAAATCAAATAAACTCTTCCATGGAAATTGCCGCCGAGGTTAAAGATCTTACTCAAAGATTTGATAAATTCCTTTTGAATCAAGGTCCGGTAATTCAATCTTATTCTCATCCTTCCAATGAAATGTACATGACTTGTTCTAGTTACACTCACCATACTTCAAATTGCCCTCTTGGATAAGTCATACCAAGTGAGTCTCAAGAACAAGCAAATGCAGCTTTCATTCATCAAGGGAACAACCCATATTCCAATACTTACAATCCAGGGTGGAAAAATCATCCTAACTTTGCATGGAGAAATCAAGGAGACGGTGCAAACCCTCCTCAAAATCAAGGTTACCAAGCAAAGTATGTTCCCCCACATCTCCAAAATCAAAATCAGAATTCTCAAGGTTACCGTCCTTCATTTTATCCTCAGAATGTGAATCAATACTCTCAACCTCAAGCATCAAATTCTCAATCCTATTCTCAACCTCAAGCATCAAATTCTCAATCTTACTCTAATCCAAATCAAACGCCTCCTAAAAGTTTCGTTTTTGAAGACAAGGTCTTGCAAGCCTTAGGTGATCTTCGAAAAGATAATCAATTGTTTCATTCTCACTCTCAATCAATTACAAAGCTTGAAGCTCAAATTGGGCAATTAGCTAATTCTTTAAATGTGAAAGAGAAAGGTAAGTTGCCTAGTCAAACTGAGACCAATCCTAAGGGGCAATTTATGGCGCAAGCAAGTCCTTCATCAGAATTTTCTGGAAATGAGCAAGTTCAAGCAATTACTACCTTGAGGAGTGGTAGGAAAGTGGATAATAAGGTAGAGATACCTAAGGAGGATAATGAACTGAAGCAACCAAGTGGTAGCATCCGTCCCATTCTAAATCCTATTCCTATTTCTTTGGATGCTAGTGGTTCCAAAATGGACATTCCGTCATCTTCATCATCATCTCCCCAATTAAAGAAGCCTTATGAGCCAAAAGCTCAATTTCCTCAAGCTTTGAGAGAGACTTCATCATTTGGGAGACATAAAGGGAAAATTCATGATATGATGGAAGTGTTTAAACAAGTAAAAATCAATCTTCCTCTTCTAGATGCAATTAGGCAAATTCCACTATATGCAAAGTTTTTGAAGGACTTGTGCACACAAAAGAGGAAGAGTAAGGGAAGGGACCTTAAGAAAGTGCTTTTAACAGAACAAGTGAGTTCCATCATTCTGTCTAACACTCCTCCTAAGTTCAAGGATCCGGGTGCTCCAACCATTTCTTGTGTTATTGGAAACCAAGAGGTTCGTAGAGCTCTCCTTGATTTAGGTGCAAGTATCAATCTCATTCCATACTCTGTTTACTTGCAGTTAGGGTTAGGGGACTTGAAGCCAACATCGGTAGTAATCCAACTAGCCGATAGATCAATTAAGAAGCCAAGGGGAATTGTTGAGGATATTCTAATTAAGGTTGATAAATTTTATTTCCCGGTTGATTTTGTGGTACTAGATACTAAGCCAGTCCCTAATCTCACCAATCACATTCCAGTCATCCTAGGAAGGCCATTCCTTGCCACTGCCAATGCCACCATTAATTGTAGATCCGGCATTATGGACATCTCTTTTGGCAACATGATGGTTAAACTTAATGTTTTCAATGCAAGTCAACATCCCACAGATGAAGACGAGTGTTTCCTAGTAGATGTCTTAGATGAAACCATAGAGGAGACTCTTCCCTCTATTCTCTCTAAGGACCCTCTTGAGGTGTGCCTTTGTGAAATGTTTGAAAGTTGTGGTTTTGACACAGAAGGATCCATAAGTGAGGTGAATGCTTTAATGGACTCTGTGGCCACTTTGGATTACCCACCTTGGAAAAGTAAGAAAGAACCTCTTCCTTCACTCTCTAGTACTCCACCAGTTCCATCTCTTATCTCTCCTCCTATTCTTGAGCTTAAGCCCCTTCCATCAAATCTGAAATACACCTTCTTAGGCCCAAAAGAGACTCTTCCGGTCATCATTGCTTCCAATCTTGAAAATGACCAAGAGAATGATCTTTTGGAAGTGCTTAAAGCTAACAAAGAAGCCATTGGATGGAGTGTGGCTGACCTAAAAGGCATTGACCCTTCTATTTGTATGCATCGCATACACATGGAAGAGGATGAAAGGCCATTTAGGGATGCTCAAAGGAGATTGAACCCAAATATGAAGGACGTTGTCATGAAGGAGGTTGTGAAACTTTTAGATGCGGGAATCATTTATCCTATCTCTGATTCCAAGTGGGTTAGTCCAACTCAAGTGGTTCCCAAAAAGTCGAGAATCACAGTTGTTGAAAATGCTAAGGGTGATCTCATCTCGAAACGCACCGCCACTTCATGGCGTGTTTGCATAGATTACCGAAAGCTGAATTCTGCCACTAGGAAGGACCATTTTCCATTACCTTTCATTGACCAAATCTTGGAAAGATTGGCTGGGCAACAATACTATTACTTCCTAGATGGTTATTCGGGGTATAATCAAGTGGCCCTAGATCCATTAGATCAAGAAAAGACCACATTCATATGTCCTTTCGTTACATTTGTTTATCGACGGATGCCTTTTGGATTGTGCAATGCTCCCGCCACTTTCCAAAGGTGTATGATGTCAATTTTTTCGGACATGGTGGAGAAGTATTTAGAAGTCTTCATGGATGACTTCTTGGTTTTTGGGTCCTCATTTGATTCGTGTCTCCAAAATTTCAAAAAAGTGCTTCAAAGATGTCATGAGACTAATCTTGTGTTAAGTTGGGAAAAGAGCCATTTCATGATTCAAGAAGGAATCATGCTTGGACATGTCATCTCTAAAAGAGGAATAGAAGTAGATAGAGCAAAAGTTGAGCTAATTTCTGAATTGTCTCCACCTACTACGGTGAGAGAAATCCGCTCCTTTCTAGGACATGCTGGTTTTTATCGCCGGTTCATCAAAGACTTTAGCAAAATTGCTAGACCCTTGTGCAACCTTCTTGCCAAGGAGACTCCATTTGTCTTTGATGAAGCATGCCTAAATGCTTTTCATCAACTTCGCACTCTTCTATCATCCGCTCCCATCATGCAACCTCCAAATTGGTCATTACCATTTGAGATTATGTGTGATGCTTCCGACTTCGCAATGGGTGATGTTTTGGGGCAAAGGGTAGGTAAACTACCATATGCTATATACTATGCGAGTAAGACTTTCTCAGGTGCCCAATTGAATTATTCTACCACCGAGAAAGAGTTACTTGCCATAGTATATGCCCTTGATAAATTTCGGTCATATCTCTTAGGATCCAAGGTAATTGTGTTTTCTAATCATGCCGCTCTTAGGCATCTTTTAATGAAAAAGGAAACCAAACCTCGCTTGATAAAATGGATCCTACTTCTTCAAGAATTTGACTTTGAAATCAAGGATAAAAAGGGCTCCGACAATGTCGTTGCCGATCATCTGTCTAGATTAATGGTTGAATCTTCTCCAAATCTTGAAATTCATGAATCATTTTCGGATGAACAACTCTTTCAAATCTCAAATGAGACGTTGCCTTGGTTCGCCGACATTGTTAATTATCTTGTAACCGGCAAACTTGGTCAAAACAAGAAAAAGACTGATTCTTTGCTACCATCCGGAAATACTATTGGGAAGATCCCATTCTGTATCATTATTGCCAGGATCAAATCATAAGAAGATGTGTGCCGGAAAGTGAAGTTCCGAGCGTCCTTGTGTTTTGTCACACACTTGCTTGTGGTGGGCATTTCAGTGGAAAAAAGACCGCTTTGAAGTTTCTTCAAAGTGGGCTCTTCTGGCCCACTATCCACCGAGATGCCTAGAACTTTTGCAAGGTGTGTGTTCGGTGCCAAAAGTTGGGATCAATGTCAAAGAGAGATATGATGCCCTTAACTTCAGTCTTCGTTGTTGAAATCTTCGATGTATGGGGCATAAACTTTATGGGACCATTCCCAATGTCTTATGGCTTTCAATACATCCTCGTTGCCGTTGATTATGTTTCAAAGTGGATTGAGGCTTGTGCTACCAAAACGAATGATCACTCCGTGGTAATTGCATTCGTTAAATCAAATATCTTTGCTCGTTTTGGTATGCCAAGGGCTATGATAAGTGATGGAGGAAAACATTTCTGTAATCAATTCTTGAAGCAACTTTTCTTAAAATACTCCGTCACACATAAAGTGGCCACTCCCTACCATCCCCAAACAAGTGGGCAAGTCGAGGTGTCAAATAGGGAAATCAAGCATATTCTTGAGAAAACTGTCAATCCGACCCGAAAAGATTGGTCAAGAAAATTGAACGATGCTTTGTGGGCTTACCGGACAGCTTACAAGACTCCAATAGGCATGTCTCCATATAGACTTGTTTATGGGAAGCCTTGTCATCTTCCGGTTGAGCTAGAACACAAAGCACTTTGGGCAATAAAAAGGCTCAACTTTAATCTTGATAAGGCTGGAAAGGACCATTTACTCCAACTCAATGAGCTAGAGGAATTGAGAAATGATGTCTATGATAGTTCAAAAATTTACAAGGCAAGGACAAAAGCATTTCATGAGAAACATATTGTGAAAAAGTCCTTTGAAGCCGGTCAAAAGGCTTGGTTATTCAACTCTAGGCTAAAATTTTTCCCTGGAAAGCTTCGAACCAAATGGGAAGGCCCTTATCAAATTATCTCCGTCTCACCTCATAGGGCTGTTGAAGTTAAAAATCTAAAAGATGAAGGGACCTTCAAAGTTAATGGTCAAAGGCTTAAACCATACATTGATGGACAAAATTTTCAAAGAAATATGGAATCTGCCCTCTTGGTAGATCCCATTTACTTTGAAGATTGAGAACATCTCATGTCTTTCTAGCAACGTTAAACACTAGTTGTATCGAATTTCTCCTTCGTTGTATTTTAATTTCCATTTTATTATTATTTTATTTTTATTTTTCCTTTTGTACATTTATGCATTTTTAAATTAAAAAAAACAAGTGAAAAAAAAAATTTTTTTTTTTTAAATTGTAAATGAGTAATGTAGGTTGGTGTTTGATTTTATTTTTATTTTATTATTATTATTATTATTATTATTATTGTATATATTTCATGTTAGTTTTGATTTATTCAAAAACATAAAAAAAAAAAAAAAAATTTAAAAAAAGTATTAATTAGTATAGGTTGATAAGTGATTTTATTTATTATTATTTTTATTTTTATTTTTATCTATTTTTCATTTTAGTGTATATATTCTTTTTAGTTTTGTTTTGTTTTATTTTTTTGTTTATTTTATTTTATTTTATTTTTTAAAAAGAAATTGAAAAAAAAAAAAAAAAAAGAAAAAGAAAGATCAATCCCCAAAATGGGTAGGAGATCGATCCCATTTTCTTGGCAGAGAGTAACAAAAAAATAAGCCAAGTGGATTGATCCCCGTCCAAAGAGATCGATCCCATTTTACATGTGTTTCTCCCTTCTCATTAAACAGTGAAGGGGACATTTTTTTGCCTAAATTTGTCGATCCCCATCAAAGCAGATCGATCGCACCTTAACCTTTGAAACCACGAATACATTCCTCTCTTTTGTTGCTTGAAATTCTGCTTCTTCCCCCAAAAATCTCTAAACCCAATTTCATTGTCCAACCCTCACGGTTCGCTCTTCTCTTCTCGCGGCTGTTCGTAGTTCTTCTCCGGCGTCGTGGCTATTTTTTTTTTCTCCAGCGATCAAGGTTGGTTCTTCAACGGTGATCGCTGTTGGGTTGTGGGTTATTTCCCGGCGATTTTGATTTCGCCGTTCTCTGTAGCATTTGGGTCGTCTTTCCGGCGTCGCATCTGAGTTTTTCCAGCAATTTAGGCTGGTGTTCTCCAGCGATCAAGGCTGTTTCGGCCTTTATTTTTTCGGCGTCAGATCTGGGTCACGGTTATTTCATATGCCGGCGAGACCCAGCAGCGGATTCGCAGCTGGGTTCATCTTTCCGGCGATCTGTTTCGTCATCCGATGTTGCGGCTGGTTCGCAATTCTTCTCCGGCGTCAAGGCTGGATCTTTGCGGCGTCGCAGCTAGTTTTTCTTCTTCTTCAGATCTCGGCTTGGACCGGCGATCTATTTTTTCGGCGAACAGCGGCTGGGTTCTTCTCTTGTCGTGGCTGGGTCGCCGTTTTCCCCAGCGATTTCGGCTGAGTTTCTTTGGGTTTCGATTGGGACGATTACAAGATGAGTTGGGTTCGCCGATTTGATTTGGTTCTTCTTCTTCAGGTCCCGGCTGGATAGTTGTTCTGCCGGCGAGACCCAGCAGCGATTCCAGCGGCTGTTCATCTTCTACAGCATCGCGGCTTTTCGTCTTCTGTAGCGCCGTTTTCTGGGTTCATCGGCGTCGCAGCTTGTTTGCTGGTATCGCTGGCGATTCTTGGCTGGTTTACCCAGCTCTGCCGGTTGTCTTCTCCGGCAAGCTTGTGATGTTTAAAAAAAATAAAAATAAAAAAAGGGAAGGAAAAAGAAAAGGAAAAGGAAAAAATTAAATAAATAAAAAAAGAAAAAAACTAAATAAATATAAAAATTAATTTAATAATAATAAATATAAAAAATTAATTTAATAATAAATTAAATAAAAAATAATACATAAAAAAAATTTAAATAATAAAAAAAAAAATTTTGAATTGTTGTTTAAAAAAAAAAAATTTACATTGATAATTTTAAAAAAAAAAAATTTGAATTGATTTATTTTAAATAAAATAAATAAATAAATTTCACTTGCATTCCATCTTGCTAGAGACGTTAAACTTAGCCCATTTATTTTTTTTTATTTTGTAGGTTCTATATACATTTTTTTTTTCTTTGTTTCTTCAAAAAAAAAAAAAAAAAAAAAACTTAATTTTCTTTCCATTTATTATTATGTATCTATATATTTATTTTATTTTAGTATATATTTTTCTTTCTAGTTTAGTATATTTTTCTTTGTGTTAAAAAAAAAAAAAAAAAAAAAAAAAAAAAAACAAAGAGATCAATCCCATTCTTATAAAAAAAAAAATTCAAAAATATGTGTTTCCAGTATGCCCTTCTGACTAGTTAGGAATGTTTTCTGATTTTATAAAGGGTTTCATCTCATATTTCTTTGTATCGTGTTATAAATTATTTGACCTATATGCATTACTTATCCCCTGTGATATTTGCTGTGAGTTTGCTAGTATGATTATACAGCTAGGTTTTTGCACTTAAGTTTGGGGGAGACATCTTTCCTACTGGATCATTGCCGGACTTTATAGTCTTTGCCATCACAGTATACTCTTTCCATCATTTTTCATTATTCTCATTGCACATTGAGGACAATGTACAGTTTAAGTTTGGGGGTAAGGTCATCATGATTTATTCTATTTTAAATTGAGCTTTAAATGCATAATGAGATTTGAGATGTGTTTGGCAATGATTTCGAACTTTTGAAGTATAGTTCCTTTGAAAAGCAAGTTATTAGGGTCTAATACTTCTTGTATGCTCTAGGATGCCATTTAGGGGTAAATTTTTAATTTTTGATATCATGTTTGCTCTTGTAGTACACATCATCTTGTTGGTTGAAAATACATTGAGAGTTGATTCTAGAATTCTACACTTGCACTTGCGCACACTAGCATTCAATTTGTGGGTTACATGCTTAGTTGATTATTGTCTTGGTTTATCCCAATTGAGCTAGTATGCTTTGAAAGCTTTCATTCTTGATAAAATGACCTTGCAAAAAAAAAAAAAAAAAAAAAAAAAAAAAAAAAAACTGCATTCTTTTAACATGTCAACTGATTAAAAAGGAAGACAAGGGAAAAATGTAAGATGTATGATTAGTTTGAGTTCGTAGCCTAGCCATTCTGAGTCATTACGCCCTTAGGAGTGTCTTTACACTTAACGCCCTAAGACCATCTGGTTTGGGAGTCGTTGGCTCAACGCTTGTTACATGGGGTGATTAGAGAGTTTAAGGAACTTGGACATTGCACATGGTCATACATAAAAATAAAAATAAAAATAAAAAATGAAATCAATAAAATAAAATAAAATAAAATAAATAAATAAATAAAAGAATGTTTGATTAAATAACAAGGTTCATTCAATGTCTTGATGTCTGGTACTATATCTGCATGCTAGTTTGAGGGTAAGGTTATGCCATTACTTTGATTTGTTAGGATAACAACACATTTTGATGCCGGTTCACTTAAAAGGATAATAGAATTGATTCAATTTACATGATTAATTGATTGATGTGTGGAGGACCGTTTTTGCTTACATGATGTTGAAATGTTGATAATAGCTTAGAAATGGCAGAAATTTGCATACTTGAGGTAGTCAACTTTCAACACTTGTTTAATATGTGTCGTTGCTTCTCAAGTAAGAAAGAGCTGTTGATGTTTGTGGGTACCATTTCTGTAAACCCTCACGAAACTTCACTCGTCCACTAGGGGTAACCTAGGAGTTTAAAAGGTTTGTTGCATATGCTAAATGCAACCGTGATCCCTACGAAAGTGGTGTTATCTTTATTTGTTTTATTAGTTCATAGTTGTATATATGTTTATTTCATTTCCATGCTGTAGTTCATTGCTAGGGACTAGCAATATCTAAGTTTGGGGGCGTGATAAGTGCTTAAATGTTGCACATTTCAGCACCTAAGTTAGGGTATTTCAGTCTTTATATTTATCTTAATTTCATGTTTTAGTCCTAATTTATATTTATGTGTATTTCAGGGCAATAAAGTTAAAATGAGCTAAGAACGGTCCATTAAAGCCTTTTTAGAGTCAAGCAAAGATATTCAGAAAAAACTCAAAAAATGGCAAAAAGGAGGTCACAGCCCATTGCTCGTATAGTGTGTTTATTCTTCAAAAGCGGTCAATCTCAGGCCTTTGATGATGTTCCCAAAGATGAAGAAGCAAACTAATGAGCTCGGGGCTAAAATGGAGCTAAATAGGGCTTAAAGGAAATTTCCAACTCTGGGAGGATCGATCCCCCAGGGTGAGGGATCTATCCCCTAAGACTTGGCAATATTATAGATTTTTTTTATTGTTTGGGCTTATTTTGTGAACTATTGGGCTTCAATAGGGTTGTTATTTAAGGCCCAGTGAGCCATTAGATTAGGGTTAGTATTTATTTAATTTAGGTAAATATTATTTGGATTATTAAGTTTTTAGTATTCTGTATCGTATTTTTATTCTCTCTGGAAAACACGAAGAAGAAAAAGTTAGGGTTCTTGAGAAAAGCTCAGAGAAGAAGAAGAGGAGCCAGATGAATCAAAGGATGGGGCTTGTTGACATCTTGCATCCATCAACCATGAGTGGCTGATTCTTCAACTTAGGGTTGGATAAACCCTAAGCATGTAACCTAATTCTTAACTCTTAACTTTTGGGGATTAATTTGTGTAATTTATGTTATAGCCTTGATATATATATATATATTAATTCTTTCATTTGATTGTCTATGTCAATTTCATATTGTCTTATATGTTTTTGAATGATAATCAATTTCTACACTTGATTTCTTTGTGACTTGAATCTTGTGATGGCTATACATTGTATTAATTAGATGTAATTGTGTTTTGATTTGATGGAAATTGTTTTTATTAGATGGGTTGTACTACAAAATTAGGTCAATGTCTTGTCTAAATAGTTTAATTTCAGGCTTAGTTAGTTTAATTTAAAGTTAATTAATTTAATTGCAATTTAATTCCTAGGTAAGTAGACAATCCATACTAGTGCTTGAAATCCATACTTATTGTCACAATTGCATTACCCTCTAGATTAATGTGTGTTGAAATTGTAACTTAAATTGATGAATCATGCTTTGTATTGGTGAATTACGCTACACTTAGTTTAATTGTCATTAGGTAGTTGATTCATGCTTGAAATTGATGGTTTATACTTTTTATTGCAATTATTAGCCACATTCTAGATTACACATTTTTATTCCCCAATTAGTTAAAAGTTAATGAGTTAGGAAATGTGCTTAGTGGTGAATCCTACACCTTAAGTCTCTTTCCAATCTTTTATACTCTACTTTTTATTTACATTATTAAGTTTAAAATTAGTCTAATCACAAAACCAAACCTTTTTAGCAATCACATAAGCACTAAAGTAGAATTCAATTCTGAAAAACCTATAATTGTTTAGATCTCTTGGGACGATCCCTGCTCACTTCATACTCCATAGTATAAGTGTTTAGTGGTTTTATAAATTTTAAAATATGGTGCCCACTTAACATTATTTCTAAACCTAAAGTGTTGTGCATTATTTTGTGCACACGCTCGGTCGCACCAGCATTTGCTCTAGTTATCTCCGCGAGGAAACTCAGGCCTTACTTCCAAGCTCATACAATAATAGTATTGACGGACCAACCACTTAGGCAGGTTCTCCGCAAACCTGATACTTCAGGGCGACTCATGAAGTGATCGGTAGAACTTGGAGAGTTCGATATCCAATACAAACCCTGAACGGCCTTAAAAGCCCAGGTACTGGCAGATGTTATAGCGGAATTCATACCAGAAAATGGGCCCGAGCATACTGCAAATAAGGAGGAAGAAGCCGAATCTACTTGGACGTTATATGTGGATGGGTCTGTCAACGCCCGTGCAAGTAGGGCAGGGCTAGTAATTATCTCCCCAAATGGGGAATGCATCAAATATGCACTCAGGTTTGGTTTTAAAGCAACCAACAATGAGGCAGAGTATGAAACCCTCCTAGCAGGCCTCAGGATGGCGAAAGCTTTGGAAGTTGAACGATTAGTAGCATATACTGACTCTCAACTAATAACTGGACAAGTTCAGGGGGAATATGAAGCCAAGGATGAGAAGATGAAGACCTATTTACATAAGATAGAGGATATCAAGGGTTTTTTTAAGAAGTTTTCTATTCGCCGGATTCCCCGAGAAGAGAATGCGCAGGCAGACGCCCTGGCTCAAATGGCAATCACAGAGGAAGATAAAGCTATACCCGTGGGATATTTGGATGAGCCTAGCACGGTCTGGGATTGGCCACAGAAAATACACCAGGTGGCCCACAGCATGGAGTGGGCAGAACCCATTATCAGGTACATTGAGAATGAAGAGCTACCCCAGGACCGCATGGAAGTATGAAAGATTAGGATGCGTGCGGCAAAATATTCCCTCATTGATGGGGTTCTCTACAAGAAGGGATTTTCTCTACCCTACTTACGTTATGTCTCTATTAATAAGGCAAATTACATTCTAAAAGACATACATGAAGGCCTTTGTGGAAATCATGCTGGGGGTAGATCACTAGCGCATAAAGCTATCCGACAAGGATACTTTTGGCCTACTATGAGGACAGATGCACTTGAGTTTGTGAAGAAATGTGACAAGTGTCAGAGATTCGCCAATGTCCCAAAACAACCAGCAGAAAAGTTAACCCCTCTTACAGGGCCGTGGCCTTTTGCCCAATAGGGGACAGACCTCATCGGCCCCTTACCCCAAGGGAAGGGACAAACTAAATACGCAATTGTGGCTATCGATTATTTCACTAAATGGGTAGAAGCTGAGCCATTAACTCATATTGGAGCGAATGAAGTAAAAAAGTTTTTCTGGAAGACAATAATCTGCAGGTTCGGAGCACCAAGGTAATTGTGACCAATAATGGGAAGCAGCTTGAAAGTGAGCAGTTCCTCGATTTTTGTAATGAACTTGGGATCAAAGTTCATTTCTCCTCTCCTGCCCATCCCCATGCCAATGGGCAAGTTGAGGTCACGAATAGGACAATATTAAAGATGATCAAGACGGGCCTAGAAAAGGCCAAGGGTTTATGGCCTGAACAACTACCCGGAGTTTTATGGGCCTATCGCACTACCGTAAGAACCCCCACTGGGGAGACCCCTTTTGGGTTAGCTTTTGGAAGTGAAGCTGTGATCCTGGTAGAAACAAAGGTTGCTACCTTCAAAACCAAGTATTTTGAACCTCAACAGAACGGGGTGGAACTACGATTAAACCTAGACCTGGTAGAAGAGAAAAGGAAGCAGGCCCAGGTCAAGGTTGCGGCTTACCAGCGGATGATATCCAAGTACTACAATGCCCGGGTCAAGCCAAGGAGGTTCGAGCCAGGAGACCTGGTGCTTCGCTAGGTTACCCCGGCTACTAAGGAAAAGGGGGAAGGAAAGTTAGCTCCTAATTGGGAGGGCCCTTATCGAGTAACCAAAAGCAACAAACCGGGGGCATACTCGTTAGAGTCACTTGGTGGGAGCCAGCTTCCCCACCCGTGGAATGCAGAACATTTGAGGAAATATTGCCAGTAGGTACCCATGCCAGGCTGTGTTTTATTTTATTATCTCACTTTTAAAAGTGATAGAATGTTTTTAGCTTCAATAAAGCAGACCAGTGTGTAACGGATGCTAATATTCGACTATCGATTATTATTTTCGATAGGTCTTTAATAAAATGGTTATTCGTATTTATTGCACGTGTTTCTACTGAATTTTATAAGTCACATAAGGACTAGTGACACATTAAGTCCACTTCTTTATTAAAAGAAATAAGTGACTTTCCCTTACTAAAGGGGCGAGCTGGGTGAAGCTCGTAAAAATATGTTCCTTCGAAAGAAGGACGGGCTGAGTGAAGCCTAGGAAAGTAAAATGAGTTCTGTATAAGGAAACAACAAGTATGAAACAATACCATGAAAGACAAAAGTAGAGCAACTATTCTCTGGATTCAGAGATATTCTGAAAAGTTTTAAAGGAACAACATACTGAGAAATCAAAAAACCTAATATATATATATATATATATATATATATATGACTAATACTATGGAATTCAATCTTTCTCTTCGCTCTCACTTAGAACGTCATACATAGAAAAGTCTATGTCTGGACGATCTTTGCCGACAAGAGCTTTGAACCGGTCAAAACCATCACAGCAAGCCTTGCCTATGAGCACCTTGAATTCATCAGAATTTTTAAAACTCTCCACGGCAGCTAGCTTCTCGAGTTCCAGCTTATCAGAGTATTCTTTGGTAAGTTTCACTTTCTCGTCTTGAAAGTTTAATTTTGCATTAGTCAAGTCATCTTCTTTTATTTTAAGTATAGAAATAACATCTTCATATTTAGCCTTGAGGGAAGCCATCTCTAGGGAAAGCTTCTCATATTCTTTGGCGATAATAGCAGAGTATGTATTGCCCTATAAATAAATAAATAGTGGCGAATAGTTAAAAATAAATAAATAAACAAAAAAAAGAGATGCACATAATAAGGGTAAAATCTCACCTGGCTGATTAGATGAAGAAATTTCTTTGAAAGCTCAGATGCTGGCAGACTCTGCAATCTGGCAGTGTCGTCTTTTACTACCATAGAAGGGAGAGTACTTGACCGGAGTTGGGCTAGGAGCCTTTTACTAAGCATCTTGCCTGCATAAAGAGTAATAAGGGAAATACTTAATGAGATATTAACTAAAATCAGTAAGTTCACATATAAGTATCTTTGTTTTTCTTACCTTTCTCTAAGTGGGTGGAGGTTTCCTTTGAGCTATGAGCTCGTACATACAAATCTAAAGCCTCGTCAGTTATGAGATCGCTAAAGGTCTTCACTGAGTAAGAAGAGGCATTACCAACATGCTTGGCTTCTGGAATGGAGAGGGTTGGTTTGTCCTTAAATTGTGGGAAAAAGAATAATAAGTTGCACTAAATATATATATATATATATATATATTTTCCTATTCATGAACAGTACCCGCGATACTGTTCCCTCGGGTGCAAAAAAAAAAAAAAAATTATTTTCCTATTCATGAACAGTACCCGCGGTACTGTTCATGAACAGTACCCGAGGGTACTATTCCCACGGGTGCAAAAAAATATATATTTTCCTATTCATGAACAGTACCCGAGGGTACTGTTCCCTCGGGTGCCAAAAAAAAAAAAAATCCCTATTCATGAACAGTACCCGAGGGTACTGTTCCCTCGGGTGCCAAAAAAAAAAATCCTATTCATGAACAGTACTCGAGGGTACTGTTCCCTCGAGTGCCAAAAAAAATAATAATAATAATTAATAAATAAATAAATAATAATAATAATTTAGAAACTATATACATATAAATCTTACCTGTTGGATCTGAATTATTCCAAACAGTTGAAAATTTCCCGTATGCATCAGAAATAAAAAAGAAATGACTCTTCCAACCTTTATTATTTTCAGGGGTTGCAACAAGGAGGAATGTCTTCTTTGATCTACACTGGAAGTACCAAAATTTGTCTTTTTTCTTCTTGGGATAATAAAAATGCAGGAATTGATTTACTTTTAGACGGCCATTGCCACACTTTCCCCAAACAATCAAACAGCCTATAATAATTCTCCACGAATTAGGAGCAATTTGAGAAGGAGCTATCTTCAGATGAGAAAGAATTTTTTCTACAAATGGATGAATCGGAAAACGCAAGCTCGCAGCAAAAGTCGACTCGAAAAAACATACCTCACCCAAACGAATAGAAGAACATCTATCTTCTGGTTTGGGTTTGTGAAGACGAATAGATGAAGGAATGGAATATTTAACTCTACAATTCTGTAAATTCTCATCCTTAATTAAGGATTCTTCTTCACGAGGAGGTTGCTTGGAAAAAGCAGTCCTTGGTCTTGAGGAGTAATCAATACTAGATTCATCAGCATAGTCAGGATCGAGTTCTTCAATACTTTCAGAGGTTGAGTCCTCGGATTGAGATTCAGTATTCAAGTTATTTTTCTGCACGAACATGATGAGGTATCGGATATCGCGAAAATAGCGAAACCACTTTGGAATTACACCGATAACCCGGTATAGACAACTTGACCCAATTACGTATCTACAACGATCCATAATAAACTCACAGTTAGGATCCAGTTTGGAGGATTTCAGACCAAAAAGAAAAGGATGATACATAAATAAATATATATATTTATAGGAAAGAAAATTCTTTTTCAAGTAACAATGAAGTTCTTGTAAAGGAGTCCTATTACAATATGGAAGGGGCCTGTAGTAAAAAGGAAACAAATGGAATATAGAAAGTATTTCCTTGGTCCACCACGTACCCGGAAATAGGAGGCAACTGATAGGGAAAAATAACCCTAGCCTATCTTGACTTAACGAAAAAGGTAATTAAATATTGACCGGCCACCAGATTTCTCCAACTCTCAGACGATAATATCTCGTTATTAAGGATAACCATTTCTATTAGATAAGAATGATGACAAATCGTATCTAGGATAGGATTTGTCATGGGATAAATTCAAATCTTATCAAGAATAAGATTTCCACGAGGTAGGCTCCATGGGTTAAGGACGATGAAATTCCCTTATCAAGAATAAGGGAAGTGACTATAAATACAAAGACGACTCGGGAATAAGGTACACACAAAAAAACTCCTACTAAGCGAATTACGATTAAAATTCTTTATCGAGAACCCTTACTAACTTGATCGTCGGAGGGTCAACGGCCGGCACCACACCGGTGTTTGACTTTGCCATCCTTATTTTGCAGGAAACGGTGTCGTACTAGACCGCGGCAAAATTCAACCTCAACAAAATGAATTAACAAAAATTCTTAAAAAACTATTCGAATCAAGAACACGGGTGGAAAAAAAAATAATAATAATATAATAGATGTTATCAATGACTACCATAAAATCTAAAAAGTTTATTTTGGGTAAATTATATGGCTATAACAGTTAGTATAGTTTGATAACTCAATTCAGTGAACCAATTAAGCTTTAGATTCACACTTAATGTCTTGAGAAATATTACCAATTAAGCCTGTTTGATAGCGCAAATTGAATCCACTAAAAATGGTAAGAGCATCTCCAGCGGTCTGTAAAAAAATCATTTTGTGTAAAATATACACTGTCACATAGGATTTGTAAATTTTTTTCATCTCCCACAGTCTGTTAAGATACACTGCCACATCACCAATGTGTAAAAGGGTTGTATATTTTACACAGCACATTTACACTGCCATGTAAGCATATTTTCTCTCTCCTACTCCTTTCCCACTCACGGTTCTCTTTCTTCTCATCTTTCCTTTACACCTCTTTGTTTCCCACTTTTCTAAAGTGCAATAGAGAATAATCTGTAACTGGCAGCAAGGTAAGAACTGTTCGACAATCTTTTATTTATTTATATATATTTTTTAATAAGCATAGTTTAATTCATCACTTTCGTTTGATCTTTGTCTTCTGCAATCATACTGTAGATTCTAAGGTTTTTTTAAATTTTTTATCATTTTACATTCTATTCTAATGAGATAAATATGTACTAGCCAAAGATTAGATATATATTTTAATCACGTAGTCTTTACATACTTATCTTATTTTTATTATGGGTTAACTTCAGTTACACCCTCTGATATATGTTCAATCTTCAAGGTGACCCTCTCACGTTTGTAAAAATTCAATCAGATCCCAATGTCTGTCAGACATTGTCGGCTGACAAAAAATAATAAGTAAATAAAATAAATAAATTATTTTTTTGTCATTTTCTTCTATACACTTAACCAAACCAAAATTTGTATACCTTAAACCCAATTTTGTTTTATTTTGTGAACCAAACACCTTGTAATCACAGTTAAGGGTTATTACCAATTTACCATTTATCAATGTTCATTTGGTAAAAAAATTAACTGATCAAAACCATGTCCGACTCCAATTTTCTTCGTTTCTACAAAACCCTAGAAAAAACCGATCAAAACCATTTTCTTCATTTCTACAAAACCCTAGAAAAAACTGATCAAAACCATGTCCTGCTCCAATTTTTCAGTTTGGATGTCATCGAAAACTTCTATTCATGACATATCTTCACTTTCTTTTCAATCTCGGCTTAACCCATTTTACACACTTCACTATCCTCTCTTCGCAAATGGTTCGTCTAGATCTTCCACAGTTCCTTCAATTCACTGTGATCTTCGTGAACTACATCAATGAACAGATCCAATTAGAAGACGTAGATGCACCTCTGTTGAGCATCAGGCCTGTTCAGAAAGTTGCCCTTGTTGTTATCACTGGCGAACGAGGTCTCTGCGGCGGTTTCAACAATTCAATTCTCAAAAAGACAGAGACCCGGATCACGGAATTGAGGAATCTTGGCTTGGATTACACTGTAATTAGTGTTGGA